AAACCAAGTTTCTCATACCACCGTGAAGACTGAGCCAGCCCTCTGGGATCTTCCCTTTCTAAGCTCTTCTTAGGAATGCAGGCTCTAAGTACAAGGCACCCACCTCACTGAGGCTGTATGGCAGGATCAGCTTGTCATTCACAGTTACTGTTTTTCTTTTTGTTAGTACCTCCACTAGGATTTCACGCTTCACCTGGAAAGAGAGGGGAGCAGAGGGAGAAGTGTCAGAAGAGCTGTTCCAACAGAAAGGCACATCTAAAAAAGGTGCTAGCCTGCAACTGTTCCATTGCCCTTGCAAAACAGAATTCCCATATGACTCGTTCACCCAATCCTCAAGCAGCTGCTCTGGTGAAAACCAAACATGTTTAGTCAAATGCTTCAAGGCACATAGCACTAATAAGGATTATAAAGCACTTCAGAGATCCAGAAAAGAATGTTGAACAGATAGCACAAGAGCATTAAAACAACCGTCTCTCTAGTCATCTCACCTAATAACTTTCTATTGGTACATCATCTTTAGGTTTATTCAGGGTATTTTCCCTTGAAACACCCCTCATCTCCCGCATGGACTGAAAGACGGATGGTCACCTTCCCCTGCCTACTCTGGTTTGTGTGCTCTATTCATCACTGAAGGACCTATGTTGTGTATGTGCAGCAGGGGTCTGTAGAAGCACGACCTAATGAAACACTCTCCTTGGGAAGACTAGCTAGTCCCCAGATCTCGCATAGCTTTAAGCAGTCTGGCTTCTTGAGAAAGAAGAAAGGCTAGTGTCAGCATCTCCCTACACACAGTTCTTTTCAGGGAATGCTGCTGCCTTTTTGTGTGTTATTCTTTTGGTATTTGGTGTTTCACTACTTTAATTTGAAAGTTACATGGTTTGAGTTTATTCATAAGGAAAAACACAACATACATGTTCAGGAGTGTGTGTTTTGAAGATCTCACTCCCATCTTTCCCTGCAAGGCAGTGCTGGTCTAAGGAGGAGAGAGGTACCTTTAGAAGTTCAGAGAGGATATCCAGCACTTCAGGAGGTCCCACATCAAGTCCCTCATCCCGACCTGCTGCCCTCTTCTTGTAGGTAATGTTTCCCAGATAAAGAATAGCAGACAGCACTGAAAAGATTCTGGAGAAGCAATGCACAGTCAAAGGTAAGAACTGATGTCCTTTGCAGCACGAGAATTTGTGTGCTGAGCTTCGCACAGCTTTGTCCATGAGAAAGCATATGAGGGACAGCAAGAGCACACAGTCCTACAAAAGCTCTTTCAGTATAGCACATATGAAAGCAGGTCAGGGTTTCTTTCTTTCTTTCTTTCTTTCTTTCTTTCTCTCACTCTCTCCCTTTCATGTACCACTCATGTATAAATAAATCAAAAGTAATGCCTTGTTTGCTTTTTTAAAAACACATCAAGCACAGTAACAATCCATCATGTTTCCTGCATTCAAATAACACTTTTCCCTTGAGGATGTCTTAGCAGAGATCTGAGGAAACAGACCAAGTCTATGAAAGCTCATGCTACAATTAATGCTTCTTTTGCAGTTAGTCTCAAAAGTGCTGCAAGATCCTTTTGCATACTGATAGTCCAGATTAACACAGCTCTGTCTCTGAATTCTACTCAGCAAATGTATGTTCATGATTTTCCTGCAACATCATCCTGAAAGGTTCTCCTGTGACAGTCCTGGCTGTGTGTCTTTAATACAACATTCTATCCCCAGACATTTATCACAGATTGCTCTTCTTCCAACCTTACACCTGTTCATGTGAAATGGGTCTGTGTACTCCTGAAAGCAGATGGGCAGGTGGACAGGAACCAACAGATACCAACTTACTGCTTCTTTGTTGCAGGAAGAAAACCAACCATCTCCATGGCTTGTTTTAACCGCTCAAAATCATGCCGGAGGTCTTCCCCATCTTCGATTTTCAAGTTATGCTATGAGAAGATTTTTTAAAAAAAATTAAAAATGTATCCATGGAAAAATTATTCACTAATGAGACATGAATAACATTGGCAGGACTTGGGACCACCTGTATTTTGGTTTTTCCTCCACAGCTGCCAGAGACAGTCAGGAAACATTTATGCAACTGTGGAAAATAACTTCCTAAATACATATGTTTTCTTGTTTCTGTATTCTTTTCACTTTGTGCTGTGTCTAATTCTTTAATAACAGGCAATACAGCATGCATTACTGAGTACAACAGCATTTACTAGAAAACAAGCTGTTAAACCTGACTTAACTTACTGTGCATGAAGCCTCCCTTCCCACCAGTTAGAGGTGTTAATCTCTGACATAATCTTTTTCGTTATGTGTTCCTTGTAAAGTCTGGTGAGTTTTATACAAAAAGGAGACATGCATAAATCAAACAAGAATAATCATAATTAAAGAAAGAAAGGCATGCGATGCTCAAGGGGGATGTGCATTAGTCCAGTTGGCTGCACTGAGGCTGACAACAGTCACCAAATTCTATCCAAGACACATGACCTCTGGCCTCCTGGTGCTGAGGAAACATCTTCCCCCAACTTTCAAGTGAGAACAAAGGATGCCTGTTTGGGGATCCACCCACCCCCCACTCCCCCAGAGTGCAGCAGACACAACAGTGCCTTGCATCTGTCCACCAAACTCATACAAGGAGGGCCTTTGTGTACCTGATTGAGGTAGAAATAGTCTTCAGGCTGCTTGAGGTGGAATTCCTTACGCTCCTCTGTGCTGACGCCAAGCAGCAAATAGTAAAAAACATGGTAGTTCCTTCAGAAACAAACAAACACAGACCCTTTATGATACTCTCATCTCCACCCTTTGACTAACTTGGGCACCATCTTTAGCAAGACCAGATGTCTACGGCTAAGGTCACGCTCACCACATGGAATGCCAGAAGACACACAGAATGCCAGTAAGAACTCTCCCACATAAAAACCTACCTGTTTCTGAGGTCACACTCTGGACACTGTGTGCAGACTAGAATGACTAGAGATAGAGCCCTTTGAGAAGTGATGCCAATACACTCAAGTACCCTCCTGACCATTTGCCAGGTTCTCTTGCTTTCTGTCCTAAGGCAGCCAGTGAGAATTTTTTTTAAAAAAATTAATATTTAGAATTTCAAATTTTTAGAAACATCTTGGGTTTTTTAATTCTTCATTTTAAATCTCTCCCTATCGCTATAAATTCAAGTTGTGCTGCCCTTTTCTTTTGCAGTGTTTTAAGTTGTTAGCCATTAACTCTTTCAAAGGCTGTTTGCCACGTATTAACTGTTTTGCTTCATTTTCATTAATACTGAAAGTCACTTTGATTATTATTGCAACAGAAGGCAGGAAGGACACAAATAATACATTTAAAATTACAGAAAAGCTGACTTCAAATGGTCAGGACATATTATGTCAATGAATTTGACATAATAGCTGCTCCGATTGCTCTGCAGAGAGGCGGGATAGAAATAATAATAATAATAATAATAATAATAATAATAATAATAATAATAAATTTAAATTTGACTGGCTGCATAACTGATTACAGAAATCTCTTTTCATAATCACCAGCACCACCATGAGGAGGCTAGAATCATGAACACACTCTGCCCTGATCATCTCTAGTCTTGACCTGACCTACGTTTTTCTCATGTGTGATCTTTTACCATGCTTCCCTCATTCCTGCCACTTTGCCCTCCAGACAGGCACCTGAGCAACCCCTTTCAGCTATTTGCTCTGAAACAGAATCCTTTCAGCTGCTTTAACATCACTCATTCCTCAAATGTATTACTCAGTCCTCAAATATACCCCCCTGTTAAATGTCCCTCACTCTATATTTCAGTTCCCTGACTTGCTCCTTCCCAGGTTCTGCTCTATAATCATGAACATAAAATGCATTAAAAGTAAGAATTAACAGTCCTAACCTCTTCCACTTCCCTCTTTTTGCTACCCTTGCTTCAGGATTGTGATACTTTTTCAGAAGAGCAAAATGATTAAACAGCCTAGGTGAAGCAGAGACAAAGCAAATGCTGAACACTTCATCACAATCTCTTACCTTTCATTTTTCTCCCGAGAAACCAAGCGAGATTTTTCAAGCAGATATTTTTCAACCACAGCCCTGTAATCCAAAAGGGGAAACAGTTAAGAACACAGAGATGAAAAAGTACCCATTAGGAGTCTGTTAAACTTTCTTTACACTCAGACTGTTAGGTGTATGACTGTCCAGAGTTTACACAATACCATCCACAACCAGAGAAAAGACCAAGAGCCTGCATGGACCACCCTCAGAAATGGTGTGTGCAACACTCACCCCCTGACAATGCCATTCTCCAAATAGTTGACCTGGATGAATTTCCCAAAGCGGCTGGAGTTGTTATTGTGAGCTGTTTTTGCATTTCCAAAAGCCTGTAAGAAAACAAAACATTTGTTTTTCTTTTTGTTGACGTAGGTCCAGGAATCATGTGCTCTGACTTTTTATTATTGTTGTTGTTGTTGTTGTTTTTATCCCGCCCCTCTGCATAATGCAACCGGGGTGGCTTACAACATTAAAATATACATTTCATATTCCACAACCCCCCCCTTAAAATGCTATTAAACAATGATAATTTAAAACACATTTAAAATGCTAATACTAATTAATAATAATAAATTTATTAGCAGCAGCTTTTCATGCGGTTACTTGCAAGGACCGTTCTCGCTTCTCTGCTACCCGAGATCCTATAACTGAAGGTAGAAGACAGTAAACCACATACTCTGCCCTGGGCTCTGCCTAACAGTGTAGGTTCTCCTATCTGACTGCCACCAGCCTATCAGCCTTGCTACTCAAGACATTTAATTAGGGGTGAGTAATACTTCCCCACATCAATTTCTGCAATTTCTGGAAGCCTCAAATTTGTTATTATTGTGTGCCTTCAAGTCTCTTCTGACTTATGTTGACCCTATCATGGGATTTTCTTAGCAAGTTTCTGGGAGAGGGGGCTGCCATTGCCACCTCTGAGGCTGAGAGAATGTAACTTGCCCAAGGTCACCCAGTGGGTTTATATAGCCAAGCTGGGATTTGAACCCTGGTCTCGAGACTCCTAGTCCAATATTCAAACCACTAAACCATCCCCCAAGTTAAGAACACTATAACAAGGAGAACTGTGCTTCAGGAAGCATTGCATTTGTGTTTTAATAGTATTTTTACCACATTTAAATGATTTTGTGTGCTTTAATCTATGTTGTACTCTTCCTCGAGCCTTGGGAATATTGGAGTAAGAAATAAAATGTATTATTATGATGATTATAATTTTGATTATGATTATTATAAAACAAGGCACGCTCCCCATGCCCCCTTGTTTAAGTCCCCCAAAGCCAGGTTGCTTTTGTTGTGGAGGGGCTTAAACCTGAGGGTTTCAGATTTTGGTACTAGGGAGAGGAACTGGTCCCTGGAACCACCAAAGTTGCTTTCTCCTGCAGCAAAAATAAAAAATAGGCCTTAAGTATAGATGAGCTCTATCACTGCCTGGTTTCAGTTTTACAGTTCTAGCCACCAGTGGACACAGCTTCACAGACAACCTTATTGGAGTTCAGAACATGTTAAAAATCATACGGAGCACAAAGGCAAGCAAGTTCAGCTCTGCCCACTAAGCGAGAATTGATGCCAGAAGCATCCCTGCCAGCAACAACGAGACTGTGAAGAAGAAAACTTTCAGCAAGGGCTGCCTATGACCAGGTTCTCATATTGCCTTTACTAAAAGGCAAGAGGCTGAGGTCAGCTGGCCCTTTCCTCTCTTTCCAGGAGTCTCATCCTATTTCCCAGACAGCTGGTTGCACTGCCCATAGTGCTCAGAAAATAGTTCACATCTTGGATGTGAAAAGTGATCAAATATGGATTGACTAATTTATCTTTGAGTTACAGAGTCCATGCAATATCATTGTGACATCAGAAGAATGAGCAACGTTGTTTTTTTAAAAAAGTAAGTCAACAACCTTCGCCTCTTCTTTCTAGAAACACACAGTCTCAGTGATAGTCTTTGCCATCCAAACTGCTCCCAACAGAAGAGTCAATACAAAACTGTTGCTGACAGATGTCTGTTGCTTTCCCATCTATTCATCAGGGAACAGCACAAGATATGCAGGGCTGAACACATGAGTGTATTCTAGAAAGCACACACAGTGCCAAGGACTATGCAAATAATTTGTACAACTTTATCTTGCTCTTACTTAGTTTATTCAAAGTGGCCCCTCTCTCCAGCTGAAAATAGCTCCCAGGTCAGCTGACAAAGATCAATAATCTAAGATTTCACCCATACAATCTAAAAGTCCTATACATCAGGGCAGAAGAGTACCAAAGGAAACACTGCAGAGAGCATTTTTAGGAGACAAGGCACATACACACATCCAAAAATCTAGATTTTCAAAGAATTTCTTCGGAAGCCTATCATTCTCCAAAACTGTGATTCCCCCCCAGCCAACCTCTGTATCACAATATGGCTATATTCAGAAGATAAATGGCTTTATACCACAACAATCTTGTCCCCCTTCACAACCATTAGCTGCTAATGCCTTTATTCTACAGATTAAGATTTTCGGTCACCACTCCCAGACTATGGAATGGCCTGCCGCCTCTTCAGGCAGGCCTTCTTTGATTAGATTTCCTGGCCTCAGGAGTCCCCTATCCCTTTTCTATCTTGGCTGCAATCGCTGCTCAGCCTATTATTTGTCTGTCTGTCCTAGGACTGTTTAATCTTTAATTTAATGTTTTAATCATTATGTTTTAATGTTATTATTAGTTTAATTCTCTTTTAAGGGGTGGGAGGGTTGTGGGATCTTGGATTGTATTTTAATATTGTATGCAGTTTTAACTGCTGTGAGCCGCCCCGATTGCTTGACAGAGGGGCGAGGTATAAATAAAATTATTATTATCATCATCATCATCATCATCATCTGAAATATTTTTAATTCACCTTTCATGGCAAAAAAATGCTCTTTCAAGCTTTAAAACACTACCTCAGCAACAGTACATAATATTTGATATTATCCTATTTCCTGATTAATTTTTAGATATCAAAATGATTAGTATAATAATCAAGCAAGAAAGCATTGTGTGGTGTAAATGTTTGACTAGGACTCTGTGAGACCAGGGTTCAAATCCCGGCTTAGTCACATGAATTCATTGGGTGACTTTGGAGAAGTCACACTTTTCTCTCAGTCTCAGAGGAAGGGAATGGTAAACCCTCTTTGAAGAAACCTAGCCAAGAAAATCCTATGACAGATTCACATTGGGTTCACCTTAAGTCAGAAAAGACTTCAAGGCACACAACAATCTTACCCTATTATTCTTTTTATTGTTAACTGCCCTTGAATTGACCTCGACTCATGGTGACTCTGTGGATGAGACATCTCCAAGCCCCCCTGTCCTGAACTGCTCTGCTCAGGTCCTACAAACTCATGTCTGTGACCTCCCTGATTGAGTCCATCCATCTAGCTTGGGGTCTTCCTCTTTCTGCTTCCCTCTACCTTGCCTAGCATTATTATTTTTTCTGATTATTCTTGCTTTCTCATGATGTGACCAAAGTAGGACAACCTCAGTTTAGTTATCTTGGCTTCTAGGGGTATAGCAATAGTAATAGCAATAGCAAGTACATCTCTATACCGCTTATCAGTGCACTTAAGCACTCCCTAAGTGGTTTACAATGTGTAAGCTAATTGCCCCCAACAAGCTGGGTACTCATTTTAGCAACCTTGGAAGGATGCAAACCTGAGCCCTTGGCTGGTATTGAACTCACAACCTTATGGTTTGTGAGTGAGTGGCTGTAGTATAGGCATTTCACCACTGTTCCACCAAGGCTCTTTCAGGCTTGATCTGTTCACGGACCCATTTGCTTATCTTCTGGGCTGTCCACGGTATCCCACCTCACCACATCGCATATGAGTTGATTTTCTTTTTATCTGCTTTCTTCACTGTCCTGCTTTCATATCCATATATAGTGACTGGGAATACCATGAAGTGGATGATTTTAATTTCAGTGCTGAGTTGCACATCTTTACTCTTTAGTACAGGGGTCGGCAACCTACGGCCCGCGGGCTGCACCCAGCCCGCCACCCCCCGCTGCTGCTGCACGCATCGCTGCCGCCATTTTGTTTGCCAAAATGGCAGCCGTGACTTGTTTGCGCATACGTAGGAGTACTGAGCATACACAAACGAGTCGCAGCCACCATTTTGGCAAACAAAATGGCGGCCGCTTTTGTTTGCCAAAATGGTGGCCGCGACTCGTTGCAGTGCTCCTGCGCATATGAGCCGCAGCCGCCATTTTGGCAAACAAAATGGCAGCCGCGACATGTGTGGCAGCTGGTGGCGGGGGGGCTGCGCATGCATGCGTGCGCCACCATTTCCCTTCCCCCCCAGCCCGGCGGAAGACCTGGGGACCAGCAACTGGCCCCAGGTATGTGAATGTTGCCGACCCCTGCTTTAGGATCGTGTCTAGTTTTTTTCAGGGCTGCCCTTCCCACTCCTCATCTTTTTCTGATTTCTTGACTGCGGTCTCTGGCATGGTCAATATTTGATCCAAGGTATGGGAACTCTTTAACTATTTCAATTTCCTCATTGTCTAATTTGATTCTAAATAGGTCCTCTGTGGTCATTATTTTTGTTTTCTTTACATTCAGCAGTAAGCCTGCCTTTGCACTTTCTCCCTTGACCTTCCTTGAAAGTGTTCCAAGTCCATGATGTTTTCCACTAGTACTGTATTATTGTGTCATCTACTTATCTTAGATTGCTGGTGTCCTTTCCTCCTAGCTTCACTCTTCCTTCTAAGTCTAACCCTGCTCTTCATATGATATTTTCTGTCTACAAGTTGAATAAGTATTGTGTTAATATGCATCTTGCCTGACTCCTTTACCTAATGGGAACCATTCTGTTTCTCCATATTCTGTTTTGACAGTAGCTTCTTGTCCTAAATACGGATTTCTCATCACGTATCAAATGTATTGGCCCTCCCATGTCTTTAAAGCTTTTCGTGATCTATGCAGTCAAAGGCTTTGCTACAGTCTATAAAGCACATGCTGACATAACTATCAAGTGCGTTGGCACTCTCATGTCTTTCAGACCATTCCATAGCTTTTTATGATCAATGCAGCCAAAAGGCTTTGAATTCTTTTTTAATTCTTACAGATATTCAGAGAACATTACTCATCTCCAAGCAGGCAAAAATTTGGCAGGATGTGGGCTGGATGGCTAAAGGTTCTAAGTTATGCTCCTACAGTGTTTGGTTGCAAACCAATCTTGCTCTTAATTACAATGCATATCCTTGTTCAGGAAATTCTTGAATCTTGAAATGAAAAGCTTGATTTAAACATCAATCCAATGCACCCTATTCCCTACATCTTTCTTTGCTCCTTTTCATTTCCCCCCTTTATGATTACATATGCTGCTGTCTATGGCTCAGAAGTATTCAACAGGGTTAGATGACCTCATACATGCGGTATTTAGTCCAGGCAGAGAGTAAATTATCCAAACCTGCTTTTTTAAAAATAAATCCAAGCTGGCCTGACATGAGTTGCTGAATAGCATCTGCGACAACAGAAAGGAGCTCATGTCCTGCTTGAGGTCCTTGGTTGGCCCTTGTGGGAACTGACAACTTAACCAAGTGGGTTAAGCCACTAGGTGGGGGCTACGAACCCTTTGGTAGATTTCAAGGGGCTTGTGAACTTAGGAGAAAAGAACCCTTTATTTTTAGTAACTTCTCTAACTGAAATCTAGCATTTCCTTCAAGTATGAATGTAGGCAACAAACCACAGGAGTATCAGCAGTACCTGTATCTTGGACACCAATAGAAATTAGATATTTTAACGACACATTACAGTTGATGCAAATAGCTCAAAATATATACATTCATCACTGCTTCAAAATTGCTGAAGTTAGACAAGCTGCTAGAGAAGTGGGTGAAGCCCATAGTCCTGCTGCTATTCTGAGAAGGGGTCCACAGG